AGATAAATAATAAATCTTTAAAAAATAAAAAATACAAGTAAACAGAAGAATATATAAAAAATTATATATTAATTATGTAAAACAAAAAACAAGTGTGATAAGTTAAAATTATTTATATAATGTAGATGGAATATATAATTTAAAACTGATATGAAGGCAAAACTTTTTTCTTATCTGTATGGTGGGTCAATGATCCAACTTTTCAATGAAATCCATGATGTCATCACTGAATAATAAATATTTAAAAAAAAAGATATAACACAAAAAATGAAAAAGTACAAGATTTTGTCAAAAACATTTGGGAACATTTTTAATGTTATATATTCATCATATTAAATAAAAATTATTATTAAAATAAAAATTACTTTTATTTATGGCAGAAATGGAATAAAAATTTAAAAATAATAGTAGTAATAATAAAAATTGTTATTGTAATTTAAAATTTTCATATGCACTGAACATTCATATTTACTACAAGCGTTTAAATTTAATTTAATCATATTATTACTTTTGTAAATTTTTATTTTTTATCTTAACTATGATATATCTAAGATTCAAGTAATTAATATGAAGAAAAATTTCTTACGTGCATCGCACGTGCTTCATTATTATTCATATAAGTGTTGGGATAGTTTCATGGCTTAAGAGTGTGTTTATTAGGCATGTTATCATTATTGGCCCAAGTTTGAATTACATCAGCACTACGCGCATTCATCTCTCGCGCGTAGCGACGTGGAGTGTCGGTCTGTATCAGTCCGATACGCACAACTGGCATAATACACCTCCAATCATAATGTATCCCGTGTCAGATGCTACCGATGTCAATACAATACGCCCTGTATTAAACGTATCGTATCGATATTTCAATCCTTGATCACTGGCAACTGAATTTTGAGTGATTCTCAGTTTCCTTTATCATCCTACATATTGGAGAGTTTATGGCAAATAATGAAATCATCCACTAAAAAGATGATTGAAATCATCTAATCAAATTGTATTCCTACTAGCAAAATCCCAACTCATATGCTCTGTTCAAACCCTTTTCATCCTGGTCTTCTATGTTAAAAAAAATTAATATATCTTCCAGAGTCATGAAACCCAATTAATTATTTATCAAATCTTATTAATCATAACGAAATAATAAGGTGGGCCTTGGTATAATGGTTGGATTGCTCCATTGCGATTTGGGTAACTAGGATAAGGCTGTTTACATCATTCTCTATTCAGATGAACCCACATAAGAACCATAGTAGTAAGTACTGCCAAATTAGAGGAACTCAGAAAGTTCTCCAAAAAGCAGTGTCATTGCCTCGTATTGGGTTTTATGGAGGACATGTTAGCACGTCAAAACAAGAGGTACAAATACCATCATAGCCAAAGTAATGGCCACATAGTAAATCAAAAATCAAAATCGTTAGCCTGAAAGATCAAGCTCCAACTATCCATCCGCCCAGATTCAGAAAAATCTACTTCTTCAATAAGCTTGTGTTCTCAAACAAATTCTGTCCATAGAAATTTTACAAAAAGAGTTGCATATATAGTTGGATGATTTTTCGATGGCTGAAATTTTACAGGTGGCCTATTCAGAAAATGAGCTTCACAATATGAATGATTCTAAACTGCCACGTGGCCATAACATTGGCACGTCAGATCATGGGTGATTCACCAGTGGATGACCCCAAAATTACTTGCTGTTCAAAGGCAGTTGGTTGGCTGTTGGCACTCCATTTTGCAAGACAAGCTTATCATGATCAGAACGTTGCGTCTGCAGGATGCCAACATCCACATGACTAACAGAGGGAGCCAAAGCGAGCCTCAAGCTGCTTGTTTAGCCAGAATGAACCTTATCTGAGGATTGTGTTCAGTTTGTTTTTTCTTTTGGGTGAAGATTGTGCTCAGTTTATATAGAGTTTAACTTCAGACAAGCCTCATTTAAGTATTAAATTGTGGAGTTTAGACAGACAATTAACAAATAGGAAAGCATAGGCACAGATAGTCTAACCAATATTCCACTAAGCTTCTCAAGAATACCCAACTTATTCCTTTGACATAGAGAAATCATGTGGTTGGTTCCCAACAATGTTTAATTTCACCTGACATTGACCTGGTCGGTTGAACTGTTCGACCAATTAATCTGGTCATAATACTGGTTTGGGTTAACCCCTAATAAAAAACCCGTTCACCTGGTCAGAACTCATAAGCATGGTGATACAGGTGGTTGACCTGGTCATCAGATTAGATTTTTTTTTTTTTGATAAATTTCTGAAACCTCCCCTTGGGTTTGGTAATTGTAATCACCTCTCCTACACTTTCTGACATAGTTGCAAGTAGACCCTCTTTGTTAGAATCTACTAAAAAAAGGCATGAACATATAAAAAATACTCATGCAGTTACTTTTGACCAAAATATTTATTTTTTAAATTTTCTCTTCATATGAATTGTTACTCCAAACTCTTTCAATCTCTTTTCTGAAATTGATTTATTTATCAAATTTTCCCTTCGTATCAATTGCTCAAAGGTAAAACTACAACTTTAAATTCTTTTTTTTTTGTTCATAGAGTTTGTAGCATTTCTTTTTTGTAGAGACTAGTTCCAATGGTAATTGCATGGATAGTTTGGATATTTTAGTGCATCTTATTAGAGGATTCTAACAAGGCGTCTCCTTGAAACTGTGTTAGAAAGCTCAGGGGAGATGATTGAAATTACCAAGCTTTAAGGGGGGTTTCAACAATTTACCCTTTTTTCTTGTTTTTCGTTTTTAGCCGTTTAAAGATTAATAGTTATATATTTTTTATTGCACTTACTTTGTTTAATATGATGAATAGTTAAGATTTGAGAGATTCCCATTTATTTATTTATTTTATTTATTTTTCCTTTACCTTTTGGTCATTTTCATCATTAATAATAAGTTTTATAATTTTTTCTTTTGCAAATTTGAGATAATGTCTAATTATTTTACACAAACATGGGTTGGTCCATTTGACCTAGAGGGTTGAACCATTAACTTATCATTACACCTATTTAAGGGTCAGGTAGCTTGGCAGACAAGTCCATAGGCTGTAAGTATAAGGCCCAGTTATTTTGAGGCCAAGCTCGTACTTTTTAAATAAGCCTGATCTGATAATATTATAAATAATGAAATATATATATATATATATATATATATATATATTAGTAATATGCATTAAGTAATAATTTGTATTTTGTTTGTTTGTTTTATTTTTTTGGTTTGGAGTTAAATGTATAATTGTATCTTGGGATGCAATATTTTTTTATGTAAAAAATATGTGATTCGAACAAATAAAAGAATGAAAATTTCAATATCCACAAACTCTTATCTTATTGGCTTCATTTTTTTTTTTAATTTATTACAAATTTATATAAAATTATTGTTATTTATTAGATATTAAACTATTAATTTAGTCAAAATTAATTATCATTACTTTAGTATTGCAAAAATTATTAATAATATATAAAATATAATAATTATTAATTATTTAAAAACTTAAAATATAAAATATCTCTCTTATATGTTTCTATTATTTCACTTTCGCTTAATACATTGCACGGGTCCCACTATCAATACAATTTTAATAAGCAATATAACGAAATATAGTGAAAGGAACAATATAATAAGGCAAAGAAAATATAAATACAAAGACGTAAGCTCTATGGGTAGGTAGAAAAAAGTCAACACTGTTATTTTTCTATGATACGCACAAAATATCCCTAACCCCAAAAGGTAAATTCTCTGAGATCCCCATATTTTGGAGGATTTCACATTTAACCCCCTACTTTCCTTTTTCATTTTCCATATTCCCTTTAAAATTTGTTAAGAGCGTCGCCATTCATTCCTCCAAGCTTGAAAACTAGAGAAGAGTACTCTGCAGCTCACACCAGAATTCTGAATTACAGTCCTCAGTGTCTATTAGTAGCCCCCACCCCTATAAACTACATATTGTATGATAGGACTAAAGAATTATGAGCTGGGCTGATCAGTCATTTTTTTTTGAAAATTATCCATTCAAAAAAATAGTAAAATAAAATAAAAAAAAAGAATAAATTACTGAAACCTTCCCGTGCATTTTTTGGGACAGTTTAGATTTATTACCCAATTTTATACTAATAGCACTATCCTCCGAAAAAAATTATAAACAATCAATTGACATTATAAAAGTAAAAACCAATTAGGTTCGTTTTCATCAAAATTCACAGTGGGTAGGTTGTGGTTGGTCAAAACGTTTCCGGTATGATGTCTTTCTAGTAGCCTCAAATGAGTCATTTGTATCTTACTTGAATAGTGGGCTAAAACCCACCCTGTGACCTTTATTCATGTCAACCCATCTGTTTTGATATATACATCCATCACACTCGATATTTTTTCTTAAAGTACGAAAAAGTGTAGAAGATACAAAAATTGATAAAAAATTAAAAGAATAAACTAACAAAAAAAGTAAATTAAAAGAAGCATAAAAAATGATATGTTTTTTCAAAAATATATTTTGACCAAAAAATCAGAATTGCAGAAAAATGCATAAAATGATAAAATTTTCAATATATAGATATATTTCAATAAAAATAAAAAAATTATAGAATTCAAAATATATATATATATATATAATTCAAGAAAAAACATAAATTTTATGAATGTTGTGGTCAGTATAATAGGGAAGGGCAAATTTAAAAGCTAATTTACCCTTCAAAAGGTTGGGATATTTTGATAATTTTGCTCACTTCCGTCAGATCAGATTGGGGGGTGTAGATGAAACAATGCCAGAAAGTTCAAGCGAGGAGTGAGGACGCTGTTATTAGTAGCATAAAGCAGGATACTGAACGGAAATTGTCAGAGAAAATTAAGGGGAGGTTTCGACAAATTACCCAAATAAATAAAAGGAAAAGTCAATAAAAGAAATTAACGGGAAAGGGTGGAGAGTAGAGGAAGAAACCTCCCGTGATTTGTTATCTTGTAGACTTTTACAGTCTTTTCTCTTTCTTATTTATTCTTCAAAGAAAAGAAGTTATTGACTTCAGCGGAGCACAGCACCGACTTCTTTGTTATTTGGACAGAGAGGGGTCGGCATTCATGGTTTCCTCCATGTTTTCTCCTTTCTCCAAGCTTATGAGAAAGTGTTGAAATCATGGAGGACAGTGGGAATACTTCCGATGAATCAACTAGCAGTTCCAAACGGCAGAAGATTTCCGGTGATAGCGGTAACACCGATGAAGGGCTTGACCGGATTAGCGTTTTGCCGGACTCCGTCCTCCTCTACATCCTTTCCCTGTTACCGACGAAGGAAGCTATAAAGACAGGCATCCTGTCGAAAAGATGGGCATACCTCTGGACTTCCGTCCCCAATCTTGATTTCAGTGATCCTAACTTCGAGGAGAGTGAAGACGAGGATGGGTTTGTCAACTTCGTCGATCGCACTCTAATTCTTTATGGGGGTTCAAGAATCAAAAGGTTTCGTGTGGTTTTTGAATACAGAGAATGGTTTGCTTCTCGTGTTGATTTGTGGATTCGATTTGCGGCAAGAAAGAACGTGGAAGAGCTCATCCTTGAATTCGCCGAAGGAGATAACTTAGACCCTTTGGATGGTGATCCTTACTTGTTACCTCAGCATGTTTTGACCAACGGGTCAGTGACAAATTTGAGCTTCAGCTTCTGCCGAATCAACCCTCATGGGTCGATTTCTTGGAGATCACTAAAAAGCTTATCTCTGTCATATATGCCTTTGAATGATAATCTGGTTCATGATATTATAACAGGCAGTCCATCACTCGAGGTCTTGGATCTCTATGAATGCTGTGGTCTGAGAAAACTCAATATTACATCGGAAAACCTCAAAAAGCTGACGTTGCGTGACTATTACAGCTCATCTGATTTGAACTCTGCGCTGGAAATTTCTGCTCCCAATATTCAGTCGTTGAGTATTCTTGGGATCCTAAATAGGAGGTGCCATCTTATGAATATGCCCTCTCTAATTGATGCTACCCTCCAGTTTCAAATAATGATAGACAACATTCTGGACGAGTATAACGTCTATGAAGGTTACCACAACATTTTGAGAGTGATTCTTGAGACTCTTCAGCATGTTAAGGTTCTCAGAATAGGCATTTGGTGCATTCAGGTATGACTCTATACAACAGATATACACTTCATCATTGTCTTATATTTTTTCCCTTTTGGCCCCAAATTCATCATTTGGTTTCTCATTGTAATATTGGTTCATTTTTTCTTGATCTCTATACAATTTTTTTTTTTTATTAATTTTGCTTTATTACTCTATAGTATCTTGTATCATGAATTGACAGTGCCCCTTATGCACTGGCAAAGAAAGCTGCTTGACCTGTTTTTGTAATGGAGAGTGGACCTCCTTTGTGTGTATGTTTGTGTTACCTGCCAAATATCAGGTTATGATAAGATAGGAATTCTTTATTTCTATTTTTAATTCAAAAGAGCTCCAAAAACTAGGATCAGACTCTTTGTATCTTTTATAGTTTTTGTGGATTCATTTAATTCATTTTCTTTTGTTTACTATATAATCTGAAAGGTGCTGTCAATATGGGAGATGAAAATCCTGCCCTCTCCATCTTCTAAGCGCAAACTTCTGATGCTAGATACGAGTCTTGACAAATGGGAACTCCCTGGAATAGCAAATTTACTAAGAAGTTCCCCTGATCTTGAGGCACTTGTTGTGAATATGACGGCCTCCTCTTTCATCAACCAGGTGGTTCCACAAAACTGTGAAGCTATTCTTTCATACATTTCATTGGATAATGATTCTTCTGCATATTGTTCTATCTGAATGTGAATGTTGTTCATCATGAATTTGCCTTCATTGGCAGTTTCATTTTGAAGCCGATTTTCTGGATTCATACAATTTTGATGGAGAACGCTACTGGAGTTCACAGAATTTGTTTCTTCATTGTCTAATGCACAACCTCAAGACTGTCAAGATAAATGGCTTTACAGGAGGGTGTCATGAAATTGAGCTAGTGCAGTTTATTCTTAAGAATGCAATGGTGTTGGAGAAGATGGTCATTTACACCCCAAGATATGCACACCTTAACTGGAGGAAGCGTTTCTCACCAGAGGAGTTATTGGAAATTGCTCAAAAGATGTTGAGCTTCCAAAGAGCCTCTCCTCGTGCAGTAATTTTGTTCTCTTAGAAAATTGAGGTTTTATACAAGTAATTATACCTGGTTTATCCAGTTATTGTTAATAATACTTCCTTCTAGTTTTTGTTTTCTTTGTGGTTGGATGTAATTTTGTGATGCCTAAGCCTTTTTTCCAATTGTTAAAAATTTAACTTCGTTTTTGGCTAGGGAGAAAGAAAACACTACATTAAACAGGGTAGAACAGCCCCAAAGCCAAAGGTCACCCAATTCTACCCTGTTTAGTGTAGTTTTCCACTGCCTGATCTAACTTGGGTGAGCTTTGGTTTTGGGGTTGTTCTACCCTGTTTAATGTAGTTTTTTCTTGCTTTCTCTCCAAAAACAAAAAGGAACTGGAGTCTAGGACATAAGCAATCAAGTCGGCAACTTTGTGATGTTCAAGTGTAAGTTTCGAACGAGTAAACCTTTTTCTTCTATATTTATGATAAGAAAGTGATTTATTTAAGCAGATGGTGGAACAAGGCATTGATGCACGTTAATACAGGGTATGCTTGACCACTAGAATTAATTTTGCGCTGAGGATTGAAGAAGCCAATATGAATGAATAATGAATTTGAATAGGCAGGTCCATGGATGCCCATTTCTCCATTATATTTTGCCCACTGTAGTTAGAGTGAATGACTCATTCAATTATAAGGCATCTGAATTAGAACGGAGAACGACGTTGAGCAGAGATTGGCTTTTTGTCAACTGTCTCAATGACTTCAATGATTTACAAGAGTGCAAAGGTTATTAACCTGTTCTCCTTGGAATGGAGATGAATCAACACACATTTCATATACAAGACCAAAACCCACTCATAAATAATGGATTATTTATTGAGACCAGACGGACGAGGTTGCTTCATGTCCCGTGGCACTTGGTGAGGTGCGGCAGGTGTTTCAGGATTACAGCTATAAAGGAGGTACAACAGAGCAAGACCCACTTATGAATTGTAAATAGATGATAGAAAGAACATATTTCCACTAAATTTTGAATACAGATTTTCACTATTTTCAAATTGTTAAAATGGTGAAGAGTGAAAGCACATTAATTATTTAAGTTCCATTTTCTTGAAAAAAAAAACTACCTGAAAAATACAAAAAGAAACGATTACATTTACGTAGTAATGTAACCTACCCAGGGGCCAGGGCTTAAGGGTTGATGATTCTCCGACCTTGAAAAAGAAGAAACGAAAAGAGGAGAATGTTTTTTTTTTTCTAGAAAATAATAGAAAAAGAACTCTGTTCAGTTTGACAGTGTTCAACCCTGTTTTCCATTGATATGGTGGGGCCCACGACAAGGCATCAGGCAAACAGCTGACCACATGACAAACTTTACCTGGATATGGCTATGCCTCCAGCCTCCTCACAATTCTCATGGGTCCGACCGTCCAACGTTGTCGGTCGGAGATTAAGAATAGATGGAGCGTCCCTGTAAATCCCTTGCATCTGGCATTAGTTTTCTCAGTGCTGGCAGTGGCAGTGCCTACGTTCTGGAACTGGAAGCTGAGTATGTAAGAAATGAAACGGTTAATCCTCTGCCCCGAGTCTTCTCCCGTCTCCGTAAGGTCTTTACTTAGCGCCATCATCTCTGGATAATAATCAGTTCCAATTACCCAAGTCTTTGATCGAGTTGTTTATCATTGTTTTTTTTCCTAGCTTAACGTTGGAATTTAGGCCAGTAAGTTACAGTTTTTACTAAAGATGGTTTCTTGGAGCCTATGTTTATCTATTATTTGAGATGCTGTTGTAATTGAATGATTGTTCCCGTAGATGTTGTAACTGGAAAAACATACAAATTGTGAAGTCCATTTTAGTATTTAAGCTAATCCCTTTTCATGTGTTGGGTTCTTTTAAATTGTTGTTGAAAACTTACGGGGAATAGGTTGACAAATTGACAATGAATTTCCCACCCAATTCTTGACATCAAGTATTGCAATAAGGCCCCAGAAACCAAATATGGTTTGAAATTTTGGCACTGCTGAACTACTTTTTCTGGGTTATCAGTATGAGTAACTTGTGCAGGTTTTACGGCCAACAGGAGTAAGCTGGTGTTTTAGTGCTTTCCATGCAATACGTTAATAACCTCTCTGTTTAGCTTTATGGCTTTATGCCCAAGATTGAGAGTGAGTTTTTCTTCTTGTTTAGCTCTTTTTCTTCTTGAGGAAAACATTTCTTCTAGTAAGAACTTTAGACGCCAGAAAATATTTCTTCTTGGTCAGTACTTTTAATTTGAATCTCTTCCAACTGTTATTATATCTGTTTCGGACTAGTTAAAATTATACTTCTGGACATCACAGAAAGTATATTAGATAGGGCAAAATGGCTGTAAATATGAAATCACTACAATTAAACCCTAGAAGTTAAGTGTTGGGATTCTTTTCCATAGAATTAGAGGGAAAACATCAAATTCTTAAAGCTAAAAGACCATTGAGTACCTAGGAGGGACGATCTTAGAAAAAGGAAAGATTGTATGACTAAATTCCAACAAAACCAGAATGAAAACTGAGGATTACTGAAATACGAAGCAAGCAAAAGGAACCTTGTTTCTGTAATGAAAGTCAAAGTAGAAATGAAGATAATAAATTATTAGACTACTGCCTTGAAAGTACGTGATGATGTCAAAGAACATAGCCAAACAAAAATAAACACCTTTAGTCCAAATTCGTATCAGGAACAAGCTATAAATAACAAAATCTTCATCTGATTTCTTGAGAGGGATGGGGCCTTCCATGCAAAGATACTTATTATTCTTTCATTCTGTTCTCATGTTTTCTTTTGAAGTTGCACTTCCAGTTTATAACATGTTTTATGGTGCTATATGACATTGAGTTTTATAGACTTCACCTTTATGGTTCAAATGCAATATTATGTTCTATTAAATCTAGAGTGAGAGAAAGAGATTAGAGTTAATCTTGTCAGTAGCCATCTACTGCCCATTTACTATGTTTAATCACTTTCTCTTGCAATTGGCTCTTGCAGATGGAAACATAATCATCAACTGAGAGCTTATTATGCTGTAAAGATGGCAGGTGAAAAATCCTTGAGGAAGCTGGTTTCATGTGTCATTCTAGGTTTGGATGGTACATTGCTTAACACAGGTGGATTTGTACTCTTGCTTTTCATTTTGAAATCTTTTATTGTCTAACCATGTCTTTCATATAAAATACTTCCTTCAAGATTGTATGAGAGGACAATTGCATATCTTTTATTAGATCCACCTTATCTTTTTTGGCCATCCATAAATAAAGCACTGCAATAGTAGATTTTGCATGTTGGACAAAGACAAACCAAATGGTTGGTACCATCTATTCCTACCCATATTGCCATGGATGCAACATAACCAAGGAGATGACTTCTTCTATCTTGTGGTTATGGATAATGCTTTGTTATTAATTATTTACATCATGACACTTCTTTTTGTTGTATAGGTTATGATCTCTTCTGTTCTTGTGTTTTTTTTTTTTTTTGCACAGTAAAGAGTGATTTTATTAAAATGATTAAAAGATTACAAGTACATCCAGAGCTGGGACTGTATACCCAGCTACCCATATACTGTATTTAGTTTTTACAATGCTGCCCAGAAATACTGCTCCCTATGAACCCCTTGTTTGGCCAATGAATCTACCCTCCCATTAGCAGTTCTCTTAACCCAGCTGAAAGTTGCACCCACATCCCTCACTAGCTTCTCAATTTCCCACAAAGTTTGCCTGTAGAACCAAGATCCTGGATTGTTTTTTCACATCCATGAGATTACCAGCTATGAGTCTCCCTCTATTTCAATACGCAGCAGTCCAATTTGCTTTGCTTATCTTAGGCCTTGTAACAGTGCTGATACTTCAGCCTTAGGGAAACTTTGACTTGAGTTGTGTAGGAGTTTTCCACTTCTCCCCAAACCGTCCACAATACTGCTGCTCTTGCTGCTCTCCATGTTATTCTACCCCTCTTTTTAGGCTATCTTTGAAAGTTAGGGCTGAAGAGGGTAGCCATGTCTTGGAGTGGATCCCACGTACAATCAAAGAAAGAACAAATATGCATCCAAACACAATTTACAAATGAACAGAAGATTAGTAATTAGAGCATGGTCTCACCACCAGCTTTGCAAAGCATGCAAATATGAGGAAAGAGACACTTATTTGGCCTCCTTTGGATTACATCACAAGTATTTATTTTGCTAGGGAAGGCTTCCCAAAAAAAGGCTTGGATTCTAGGTGGGACTGGTCTACTCTAAATTTCTTTCATGGGAAAACTCTTCCTCGGTGTGGGTGATTGGATAAGGGCACTGAAGAAAGGAGCACAGTAGAACAACCCATTTAAGCTAGCAGTCCAAATTCTACTATCGTCAGTGTGGGGGCCCAAGGAGACTTCACTAAGCAAGTTCAAGAGGCTAATCAAGAATTCGCATTCCCCATCCCTTTAGGCCCCTTCTAAACCCAAAGTTCCAATTCAGCCCAACAGAGGAATTGGACCAAAACTTAGAAATGGGTTCCCTCTTGAAGGTGGAGAGAGAGTAAAGTGATGAGAGTTGATATTTAAGAGGGGAATTGCCCAACCAAAGGTCCTCCCAGAACAGGTTACCATGGTCTACATCAAATCTAAGATAATTCATAAATATAGGGGGTACCTCATTGATGGATTTCCAGGGGGAAGCTGAGGATGAATCTGAAGAGATCCTTGCCTCCCAACCATTGTCCATAGCACCATGAATACTCATAAATGGTTTATAATGTCCCTAATTTCCCTACTATTTCCTCGACATATTTCCACTTCCATGGGTAGCGACACAAAATTTTACCAGAATCAACATTTCCCCAATGAACACTAGTAGCACCATGTGGAGTACAACAAATATTTTCCATGACATATTTCCATTTCCTCTTCCATAGGTAGCGATGTGAAATTTTACTAGAATCAACATATTCCCCAGTGAACACTACCAGTACTATGTAGAGTCCAAGAGATAATATTATAACTTAAGGTGGTACACTATTGTAAATATGTTAAGTAACAATGTTATTGTCCACCTAACATACATGGTTACAACTTTGAGCAAGCTCAATATTCATTTCAAGCATGAAGCTAAATATTAGTTTTTTGTTTGTATTATACATTATTTGGTTGATCTATTACAATCATTTACATTTTCTATAAGTTAAAATTTTTCTTGCTCTAGATCTTAAAGTTCACAGGGCAACTTCAGAAGGTATTCTTTGTCTATAACCTTAGTTTCTTAGTTTTGTTTAATGATTTGCAACAAGATAATAATTTAAAAAGGTGTGCCTATGCTTCTTTTATCATTTCATAAAACATCTTTCTATATTTTGCATATTTTAAAATGTTTCAACCATGTTTATAATTTTTACAATATTTCCATACGATATTTCCGACATTTTCGACATG